TGCGGTTCGAGCGGGACCGGTCTCGTCGGACGGGGTGGTCGGAAGTGGTGGCTGTGAGGAATTTTCCGATCGGTGAACAGTGACGGGAATGAGGAAAAATCGCAAGGAAGGAGAAGAAGAAGACGCGGGAGAGAGAGAGAGAGAGAAAGTGAGGGGTAAATGTGAAAAATCTGATTTTACCCCAAACTTACTTCGAAATAATTACGATTCTGCCACCGAACAAGTTTCGATCGCCAAAACTTCGTTAAATCTCCGATTCAAGCCTACCGCCTGTCTACGGTTTCGTCTCAGTACCACCTACGCAAACACACCACTCATGGTCCCAAAATCTTCCCGGATACGAAAGTGACCAAAATTTCCCTTAACCCAAGAGTAAATTAATATTTTCTCTTAATTAAATTAAAATAGGAAAATAAACGGAGTCGGGGTGTTACAATCTTTGTCCAGAATCAATTTCAAACCTAAAAATAAACTCCAATAAATATATATTTTTCACCTATGTAACTAGTAAACAATCAAATAATAATAACCTACATAATCTTCATACTACCAAAAAAGAGACATTATCTCAACAAAAGTCTTTATCCATGACCGTACTTTGTTTTGTGATGAATGTGAAGACGGAAGATAGAAGAGGAAGAAGAAGAAGATAGATAGATAGATAGATAGATAGATAGATAGATAGATAGAATGACTTATGTAGCACAAGGCGTTGCTGCTACTTCTGGGACGTTGGGTCTGCAACGCTAACGTGAAAAAGAAGTTGGAGTGTCTTGGAACTTCTTGGCGTGAGTTTGTTTTTTTTTTTTTTTTAGGGTTTGGGGTGTTTTGGAATTATGGTAAAGTGGTAACGGTATTTTTGGAAGTTATTAAGAGAAAACAGGAATGAGAATCGTATCGACTATTCCCTCTAGTTAATCTGATACCTAGTTTTGAGGGGATGTAATTACGGATTTTGAGTTGGGGCCCACTTATTTTTTCATTCCTGATTGAGTTGGGGAAGTCAAAAATGAAAATTATTCTCTTTCCTCATATACCCATTACTGATACGTAAACATGATGTTCCAAGTAAATCTACTAAATCTTTTGGGATTATTTTGTCCAATCAAATATTATTAATCATGGACACAATAAGCCAAACCCATTTGATACGGGATTTGCCTATGTGGTCCACGATTTCAAATAATTGAATCGCAGGGTTTGT